GTATTTAAATCAGCTCTTCAGATTTGAACTGACACATCAGCCAAATTGTAAGTGTCTGCAGTTATTACAAAGCAATCTACTTTCTGATGAGAACTTGACATTTAACAAATTCTTGGCTCATGTCATTATTATTGTAAATCTTACAATTTTTCCTTCTGATGATTTCTATCACATCTCAAGCAAGCACGCCCATATTCCAACTTTATACCATTTAGGCAAAGGAAACGGGCCACTAAGTTGTTTGATCAGTCTCTTTAAGGAAACTTGTTCAGACCCTAAACGGCGTGATAACTGGGGACCTGAAATATAAATTATGAAGTACTGGCATTGTGGTTGCATAGTTTGCAAGGTGGTTTTCAAAAATGAGTTTCATCTCCTGTGTCTGGCTTTCTTCAAGGTGGTGTTCCTGGAGTTCCTGTTCCTGTGGTGTCCATATCCGTTTTAGTACAGACTATGTCTCTAGAATAGTGACAAGTCACACAGCAGTCTGTCATCAGTATCTGCAGGACATCTTCTGTCATGAGCTCTACAATTCTGTAGCATGTCTGTGCCACAGGATAAGAGAATTTTCTATTCTTCCAACACTTACCATTGGTTTCTACAAGGAAAGAAAGATACTGTTGTCCACGCCAGCGTGGAGGAGGAGGGGCTCACCCCTATCTGAGGAGTTATCGACAGTTGTTAGCTGCTGGAAGAGGAAGAGTCAGTTTTCTTTAAGGGTGTGGCACCTGGTAGGTAACCATACTCCAGTGATGGACACCCACGAGTGTATGGACAGCACAAACTGTGTATGCATCTATGGAATCCTCAAAGAATAAAAAGATGTTTTAACAAAAGAAATGTTGTCAGGGATTTTCCTCTAATTATTGACCAAGGGCACACAAAAACTTGCACTGATAATTACAACGTCTGGTAAGGAATAATAAAATAAGAAAACTTTTGCCAAAATAAAATCTAAGTACAAATAATACTGCAGTTCATCAGTGTGCAGTTAGGGGACTCTTCACAAAGTGAAAAGACCTTTGTAACCCGGGACCGTATTGAAAAGACCATCATCACAGAAACAAATGAATTTGTATTGATTCTAGAGAGCCCAACCTGAAAAAATTAAATCATCTATAAAATTTGTCTATAAATCCTTTGGGGTTTCAAGTGGCAATAACTGTAAATATGTCAGCCTTCTTTTCTAAGTCTTTCCATCCTCTGCTCCTGCCCCAGGCTCTCGAGGAGCTGGTATTGGAGGCAGACCCCAGCACTCTGGCTCATAACCTGCTACCTACAACCTGCTTGTAATACTCAGTACAAGCTGTGCTGGAAAAGTTTTAGAGAGTGGTTCTGGAAGAAGGCAAATCCCATCCATAACATCTCACACTAATAATGATTTCTGGGGTGGCCTTTTTGGTAGGTAGCATTTCTGTGGTTCCTAGTGCTTTCTTGGAGTAGCCTTGGATATTCAGAGTATGTGCCAATGGCTATAACATTTTTGCCATATATTTTTAGAGTCTCTACGAAATTCACTCCCCTGGGTATTGCATGTATGGGGATTTGTTCAGCGTCTGTCTTCAGGTGACTGGCTTGTTCAATTGGCTTAATGATCACAGTTCATCCAGGTTATAGATGTGTCAGAACTCTGTTCCTTTCCAACATAGTAACATCGCATGGTGTATAAACGTTCAAAGATTTTATCCACTGATCTGTCAATGGGCCTCCACCTTTTGAGTACTATAAATAATGCTGTTCTAAACAGGGCGTGACTATCTCTGAGAACCTGCTTTAATACTTTTCTTTTTAAAAATTACGTTTTTATTCTTGGGGAATTTCATACGCTGTGTTTTGATCATACTCAGACCTCTGGCCCCATCTCCTCTCAGGTGCACCCCTACCTCTTCCCCTACCCTCACTTCCCGTTCTCTATTATTTATTTGAGGTCTATAAAGTCTAATTTGTGTTTCTCAAATACTCTCGGGTGTGGGTCCATCACCTGGAGCCTGGTCAACCTATCCAGCATCACATGGTTTTGAAAAATTTGCTCACTCATCCAAATTTCATGCTTGATAGCTGAATTTGTCCAGAATATTCTATTAACATTTTTATAATCTCCGAGGAATCGATATTAGTCTCATTTATAAAGTTGTCCCAATTTCCTTACAGCTACAGTGACAAAATACCCTGGAAATATCAATGTAGGTATGAAGGGTTAGTCTCAGCCACGGCTCCAGGTGACAGTACTTCATGGCAGGGAGGTCACAGCCACAGGAGCTTTGAGGGAGCTGGCTACATCACATCCATAACCAGGAACAGCCACCAATGAACACGTGCATACTAGTGCTCAGCTCAGTTTCTCCATCCTTACCCAGCTCAGGATCTTCTGCTCAGGGAACAGCACTACCCACAGTTAAGATGCGTCTTCCGCATAAATCAAGACAATCCCACGCAGACACGCCCATAGGCTAACCTGATCTAGACAACCCTTCATTGATAGTCTTCCCAGGTGACTATGGGCTGCATCTAGCTGACAGTTGAAGCCAACCAGCACATCTTCCTGATGCCTGGGCAATGGTGCTGCTCACAGTAGGATTTCCCACACTGGGTAGTTTCTGTGGCAATAGAGATTTTTCTAGACTCTGTGCTCCCTGTATGGAGTAGCCTTGCTAGTGATAATTACCTTCCTAGTGATAAAGAAAATAATTTCATAGGAGTCGTTCTGGAGGATCTCTGTAATCTCTGCCTTTGACTCAAAACTACACTGTCCACTCCAGCTGGACTTCTCTGGGGAAACCAACAGTCAATGCAATTCTTTGGCCAAGTTCTCTGAAGCTTCCCAACTCACCCAGCCCAAGGTCTTTCTTTGGTCCTCGTTACCTCTAGGGATGGGGGAGCTGCTGGTCCTGTGGTTTAGTTACCGAGCGCTTCTCTTTGTGGTCCTCAGTTTTCTAAAAGCTGATGTGGCCAAGTGCATGGTGTTCTTCTTCCTTCCTGATCCAGGGGTTCACCTAGGAAGTGGGGGTCAAGGAGAGAAACACAGTCGGGGAGACATGAGACAGTCAAGCCACTGTGAGAGAGGGGCGGGGGCCAGGCACTTAGAGTATGCGCCCTTCTTCCTGAGGCAGGCTCTGATAACTTGCATTTGTCCTTGGGAGGTTCAAGAAGGAGGTATGGGGCGTGGGGGTACATGTGAGGGTGTGGGGTGTGTGCTTGTATGAACTACCACATGTTTCCAAATTGCTTTAAACAGTTTTATTATATTTTTATTTATTTATTTTGTGTAAGTGTGAGTGCATGTGTGCATGAGTGTGTGTTTGTGTGCGTGCTTGCATGTGTGCTGTTGTGTGTGTGTGGGGGTGCACACAAGTCAGGACATGCCTGCTGCATGGGGAGGTCAGAGGACAACTTTCTGGAGTCAGTTCTGTCTTTATACCAGGTGAGTCCTGGAGACTGGACTCAGGTCATCAGGCTAAGCAGCAGGCACCTATACTGGTGAAGCCATCTTGCCAGCTCACAAAATGCTTTTAGTGACTAAATAATTTAGAAAAATCCACATTCCCTATCTCCAAACCTGTGTGAGCATGTGTTTACCACCCCCCCCTATAGTTGTGAATTTAACATTTAGTCACTTTAAAAAATATTTGCAAATACTATGTGAGCCTGCCTGGTGCTAAAATACACACCATGTCTGTTCTTTGATGAATGGCCCTTTGCATCCTGTGCACGGTACCCCTCACTTGATCTCTATGAAACACATCAAAGTAGAGAGTAGGCCAGAAAAATTAAAATATAAACTTTCAGGGCTGGAGAGATGGTTCAGCAGTTATGAGCACTGGCTATTCTTGCAGAAGATTCCCAGATTATTGAGAAATGCATTTTAGCAGGGACAATCACTAATAGTTTTAACTCCAAGAATTTACAGAGAAAGGGTGTTGTTCAGGTGAGTCAGGGTCTGCTGGCCTCTGTGGGGAGATCAATTATCGTGAGAGTATGTGCGTTATATGCTGGTCCTGTTTTAGGGACTTTGGATGCATTAAGGTCATAAGCATGCAGGATCCCCAGCTGTGGAGAGTTACCTCTTCTGTGTCTTCCACCAAGATCAGGAAGTAGGAATGAGCTTTGTTCTCGTCTGTGGGCCTACATTACCCTCTGCTTAGTGCTTCAGGAATGTTGCATTGTTTGAGGGTTGGGGTGGTAATGACAGTATGTCTTTGTCTGAATCCTGCTTTCAGGGGGTGGGAGGGTGGAGGGCAGGAGAGAAGGAGGCTTACAGGATAGGGTTGACTGCCCTTCTCTTAGGATCTTACTGTGGGAAGTGGCATGACCTGAGTACTCTTTTCTAGAGACTGAGTGCTCCTGTCCCAGGGACTGAGTGCTCCTTTCCCAGGGACTGACAGAGTGCATCCTAGGGACTGAGTGCTCCTCTCCCAGGGACTGACAGAGGGCATCCTAGGGACTGAGTGCTCCTCTCCCAGGGACTGACAGAGGGCATCCTAGGGACTGAGTGCTCCTCTCCCAGGGACTGACAGAGGGCATCCTAGGGACTGAGTGCTCCTCTCCCAGGGACTGACAGAGGGCATCCTAGGGACTGAGTGCTCCTCTCCCAGGGACTGACAGAGGGCATCCTAGGGACTGAGTGCTCCTCTCCCAGGGACTGACAGAGGGCATCCTAGGGACTGAGTGCTCCTCTCCCAGGGACTGACAGAGGGCATCCTAGGGACTGAGTGCTCCTCTCCCAGGGACTGACAGAGGGCATCCTAGGGACTGAGTGCTCCTCTCCCAGGGACTGACAGAGGGCATCCTAGGGACTGAGTGCTCCTCTCCCAGGGACTGACAGAGGGCATCCTAGGGACTGAGTGCTCCTCTCCCAGGGACTGACAGAGGGCATCCTAGGGACTGAGTGCTCCTCTCCCAGGGACTGACAGAGGGCATCCTAGGGACTGAGTGCTCCTCTCCCAGGGACTGACAGAGGGCATCCTAGGGACTGAGTACTCCTCTCCCAGGGCCCTGCTGTGGAAGGGTTGTGGGTTCTGAAGGCTTACCTTTCTTCACTGCATTTTATGAATTTCTCTCCAGGGCCTTTTCAAACTGGCAGCACAGGTTCCTCCTAGGTATGTTCCTGGGCTTTCTCAGTGCATTTCTTTGTGGAGAGTTTGTAGAACTGCAAATTCTGCAAAGCTTTTATTAGTTTTACCTGAGAAGGTGTTAGGAAGATGCTGTGAAATAAACAAGGGATTAGAATTCCCGTCCACTAATATTCATCAACCTAGACACCTCTCACCAGAGCCAAACAAAGAAACTGGATGGCATTGGTACTGCTGGGAATCCCAGAGCAGGTCATTACTAATTACGTAATTAGGGGCTAAGCTTTCCCCGAAGGAGAGGGGGTTCTGGGAGGTTCTGGGATGATCAACACTGGCGGAAACTGAGACACTTCTAGGTGGGAAATGTGCTGATTTTTCTCCGGACTCCTCTTTGCCTGCCCTGGGCTGATCACATAATCAGGTCCCGTCTTGCCTGATTCATTATTTATTGGGTGTGTGGGTTTTGAGCATTAACTAGATTTTATGCTCCTTTTGGGAAGGATCAGCCTTGCCCTTCACCTCCTTTTACCATTGTCTAAATACCCCAAGGCCGTTCAACTCTGGAGGGATGCAGGATACTTGCCAATTAGTCTAAACTATGCATCAGTCTGCTCGGCTGCCTAGCCGTCGACCC